CCAGGAATCCTGTTAATCAAGTAAATACAGTTAATGAGACTGGTGGGATTAGCAGCTTCCATGAAGGACCAAATAACAGTAAGAAATCTCATTAGTTGGGTTTTTAATTAAGTTTTTCCATACTGTATACATACAGATAAATAATCATCTTCCTCTGGTTTTTCCATGCAGGAAAAAGTAAAGGTGGAAGGGTGGGGAAGGAAGTAAAAGAAAGATGTGTATTTAGAACACGGTCAGCTATTGACCATCTGGAGGATGGGTACAAGTGGTGGAAATATGGACAGAAGGCGGTGCTGAACAGTCGATTTCCAAGGTAAGAAAAATGAGTTGTATAAAAAAAATTTCAAACGCACTAATAAAAAAAGGTCTGTTTTTATTTTTGAATTTATGAAATTCAAGCACTAAAAATTGTTTTTTAATATTAAATGAGATTTTTCTATAATTGTGTAAATACAGATTGAAATAATTAAATAAAAACTTTTTTAATATGTACTTCAAGTATAGATTAAGAAGTGACAAATACCTTTTAATATTAATTTATATAGAAAAAATTTATTTTAATTTTATTAATTATTTAATTGAAATCATCATGGAAATAAAGTAAAATAAAATAAAATCAATTCATGCAGTCTGGAGTAGAGGAAAATAAAAGAGAGATATTTTTTATTCACAAAAAATACAAAATTATGAAGAGGTCCTCAAATTTGGGTGAAATACAATATTGATCCAAAAATATTACTTGTGTGAGAATGCTCAAAATGCTCCGTATCTTTCTTTATGGAAATAGAAAGATAAGGAATGCAGTCAAACGGAGCCACGTCCATCTTTAACCTGCCAGCTGCCACCTCCCACCTGTCAGTGCCTGGTGACGAGACAGGAGAGAATATATGCTCGGCATATTTGTTTATGGAATCAGAAATTTCTTCCTTCTCTTTGTCAATCAAACACAGCTTTTGAATGATTTTTTAGTTTCAATAATTTATTTTTAAATCCTAATATTTAAATTTAATTAATAAAAATTTTTAATTTTATTAATTATTTAAAATTTTCTTTCCTTCATAATTCTTCATGTAAAAAAAAAACAATCTTTTCTTTTTTTTACCTATAAAAAATTAAATAATTATATTTTAAAACAATAAAATACAAAGTAGAGATATCATCCGCAGAACTTTGTTTTTCGGTCAAAAAATTGAAAGGTATAAACAGCATAAAAAAACTAGCTATAGGTTAAGAAAACAAATTCTTTCCCAATGTTTCTATGATTTTATAACTTGAATCTTCAAATTCTGTGATTAACAGGAGTTATTATAGATGTTCTCAAAGTGGGTGTCCTGCGAGGAAGAGGGTTGAAAGAGATGGAGAAGATCCATTATATGTGATTACAACTTATCAAGGGGTCCATCACCACAACTTTTCTGAGTGTTTAATGTTGTTTCCTCAGGTTTGAATTCTTTCACTAGTTAGTCTAGTCTTTACATAGAAACTCCTGCAAAATTTTTGCTGGAAAAAAACCAACATCAGCATAGTTGATATGATACAGAGTTTTGAAAAATAATAATGTTTTTATTTTCTTATATAATGAAAGAACAGAGAATGATAATTACAGGAAATTACTAGTACATGGTTTTGCCTTTGCTAGCTTCAATGCATTCAAATTTGTTCGGTAACAGTTGACTGACAGCCAGTTTTACTCCCCATTATTATAGTTGATTTCCTACGCAGCACTTATCATGATTATCTTGCTCAAGCTGAACTGATTAACACATAATAAATGATTTGAATTTGAAAGAATAATAATTGGTTGCATAAAAAAATAATAAATGAATTTAAAAATGAAAATTATTTTCACGTTTAATTTGAACCTTAAGGTGCATTTTATTAAATATTTTTTCTAAATAATTGTAATGTACCAATTTTAAATTTTAAATTTAAATCTTTAATGTTTCAAAAATAATATATAATCATTATAAAATTACTATTATAATTATAATTATTATATAATTTATTTTTTATTTAAATATTTATTTATAATATTATATATATTTATTTGTGATGTAATTAATTTAAAATCTTCAGAAGATTTCTTTTTATCATGTGTGCAAATTTCCATAATTCCATTCAACCGTCAGACCCTTAACTACTATCATACACCGATCCTAGCCAACCTGATTCACCGTTGTCATACCTTTCTTTTTGCCTTTCTGCAGGAAACTACAAAGGAGGTCGTACAGGCCACAATGGACTCACCATCGGCTGATTATAATCAACAACCTGAAGGTTTAATTCAATTTGAACAAGATGGTGATGGAAAAGGAGAAACAAAGAACGTGAAGGCTGGAGGGATGGCTGAATTCTTCCAACAATCAAATCAAAGTGGTCATAAGTCCGTTCGGACTCCCATTGAGGGATCACGAGCAAACAGAGGCGGACAAGTAATATAATTTCTTTTTGTTGATTATAATCATCTTCTACCATTTATTTCTCTAATTTTTGTATATTTACATATACTTCTGCAACTAGAGAATGCCTTGTCACCTATTAGCCATCAATTTTTTTATTAAGGGACTTTCGTGTTAAGATTTAGACGTATGGATTCGAATCTCAACTTAATATTAAAAAATATATATTTCTGCAAATACATATAGGTCCCTACAGCTACCACTAAAGTAATGATGGTGAATCCATCTGATTAGCGAAAAATGGTGGAGCAGTTTAATGGACTGACAAAGTTTCTTTTTTTATTTAATTAAAAGAATTTAACAAAGTATAAAATATATTATGTTATACAATTTAAATTATTAGATAAAAAAAGTGCCTTAACATCATAGTAGTTCTCTTTTAATAATTCTACTGATTCTACTGATATTAGTTACTATTTCCATCTAATACTTTTGTTACCTAGTTTAGGCGCAAAACAGCAATTTAGATATTAAGAGAATGTAAAACATAAGTTATTAAATTAAATTAAATTAGTAGGGAAGCCTAGGACCTAGGTTTTGAACCAAAAACAGCCTTTGTGTTCCTACAACACGCCTTCCTTCAATGAAGTCAACCCTGTGATCTTTCATTTCAAAAACTTATATTTTTCCTTTACCTTCTTTAAGGATTTTTCTTTCTTTTTTGGTGCTAGTATATTTTGTTCATTGTTATCTTTATTGTTCACTGTAAGTATGTTCTGATTTCATAAAAATAAGGACAAACTAAATATTATTTGCTAACATTATATGTATGCAACAGCCTGTAAGAGGCAAAACTGAAGAACCAGGCATGCCAGCAGACACAGAAACCAAGGATAAATTGCCATTTAGTGTTGAAAGATACACCAATATGAGTTCCAGGCAAGGTGGAGAAGTGCTGACAGAGATACCAGAAGGAGACGAATGGATTGCTCCAAATATCTGTGCAACTGTTTGTAAACCTGTTCTCCCAGAATCTCCAAGTTGCCCATTTCTGGTTGCTCTGTCCTTGGAAGGAAGCAAAGCTCTTATGGCTATCCCTTCGTCCTTCTTTGAGCACATGTCTGTCCTTACACGCTTGAATTTGTCTCATACTAGTATCAGATCTTTGCCTGTGTCTCTTTTCAAGTTGTTTTCACTTAAAGAACTCAGTCTAAGGCACTGCAAACTCTTCATGGAATTGTCACCACAAGTTGGGCAACTTTATAATCTTGTTTTGCTTGATCTTGATGAGACTCAGATTGTGGAATTGCCAAAGGAGATTGGAAAACTTTCCAATCTAGAAATTTTGAGATTATCCCTTGATGGATACGTGAACTGTGGAAAGCAGTTGCAGCAAAATCTATTAATTCATCCTGGGACCATTAAAAGGCTCTCGCAGTTGATAGAATTAAAAATTGATGTGAATCCGGAGAATGAGGACTGGAATGCAGTTGAGGAAGTTGTTGTAGAGGAAATCTGTAGCCTGGAAAGATTGCAGCATCTTGTATTATACCTGCCAAATGTTCAGATTTTGGGAAAACGCACAACAGGTAGCACATCACTCAGTTATTATCCCTTGCGCAGGTTCAAGTATACTATTGGGCAGCATAGACAGCATATCATCTCTCGAGTACCAGAAAAAGTTGAAGCTCGCTTTCAAGAGTGGGACAAATGCTTGAAATTTGTTAAGGGCAATGATATCTCAAGTGAGATGAAAAGGGTAGTTGGATACACAAAAGCATTCTACCTTGAACGTCATGCCACTGCTAGAAGCTTGTGTGATTTTGGGATAAAAAATATGAAGAACCTAAAGTTCTGCTTATTGGCAGAATGTAATGAAATCCAAACCATCATAGATGAAGGAAAGTCTTATGAAGAAGAAGAAGAAATTGATACAGTTGAAGGTGAGGTGATTGATTGTGAGTCTGGAGTTGAGGCATATTCTGCTCAAGAACCTGTAGTTTTGAATCTACAGTACTTGCATATCTATTACCTGAAGAATTTAGCGAGCATTTGGAGAAGCCCCACCTATGATAAGCAGTGTCTATCTGGCTTGAAGGTCCTAGAACTCCATGTGTGCCCCAAATTGAGTGTCATTTTCTCACCAGCTTTGCTCACTAATCTTGGCAAGTTGGAGGTGCTTGTAGTTGAAGACTGCCCTGAATTGACCAGTGTTGTAAGCCCAACAAGCAATTCATCCTTTGAGTTTTCACTAGATTGTTTTCTGCCTAGCTTGAAGATGATGCTACTTCTTTTCCTTCCGAAATTGGAAAGCATATCTAGTGACTTTCACATTGCACCAAAACTAGAAAAGATGGGATTTTATGATTGCCCAGAGCTTAAGAGTCTTTCTAAAAGGGAAATGTCAAGTGAAAATTTGAAAGTGATCAAAGGAGAAAGGGAGTGGTGGGAAGCATTGGAATGGGAGGAGTCAGAGTGGAAAAGTCAGCCCGATTATCTCCATAGCATTTTCTCCCCAGTTGA